TCACTCGATTAAAAATATCTTATAAAACTTTGCGACTTAATTCCATAATCGTGTCGAAATCAAACCAAATTAAATTATAAAGGAAAGCAGACAAATATTTCCTAGGATCTTCCTCGAAATCAATGTTATAAATATTTAGATGCATTTCCTGACATGGGTGTAGCGAATACAAAACGTTTATGGAGACTTATTTCTTGTCTCGACCAGAAAATGATTGTTCTATTGAGTAAGGATTGGCTTAAAGAATCCTAAAGTGATATAAATGCTGCCTAAAAATACAAGAATACAAGAATACAAGAGGCCATTATATTATTCTTTTCTTGGATTTTGTCAGAACTAACACCTACAGTAACTAATGACTGAGGCAGCACCTATCGACAATCGGTTCCTTATACTGCGGATTCGGCATTTTTTGTGCTTACTCGGAAAACTAGATGGTGGCATAAAATCAATGTTAGGCAAAGGTATATTTAAATGTTTTCATTTTCATTTCAGTTTGATCATCTTCGCTCCTCGGCGCATTACTATTTCAAATGTTACTTGGCAAACTGAAACCAATAAGAACCAAACTCCACTAACTCCACTCACAATGTTTCAGGGTTGGGTACGCGAATGACGAGAATGATTACAAGTGTAATATTAACCCTATCCTAGTGTAATGGTAATTGATCCTTGTCCGTGAAATGAAATGGCGAATGCGAAACAGACGACAAGAAATAAAACGGCGAGGTAACAGCGATATTTACAATATTTACAATTCAGCGAGTAAGTGAAATAGCGGTGACAACAAGAATCCATCGAGTTCTACCATATTGGAAATTCTCAATCCACGACAACTCAGCTTCAGCTAAAACCCAACTAGCAACTACCAAAATCCGATCTCTTCTAAACTTCCTCCAAGTTCCTAAACCCACGCCTAACGAATCTACATAAAAGGCGCGAAACAACAAGAACAACAAAACAAACATAATACATAAAACGATAAACAACACAACACAAGAAAATCGATTAAAACCGCCAAATAGCGTTCCACCTGTGGATTTTAATACTAAGAGTGAGGTTGTATTGCAAGGTAGTAAAAATCACTTAAATGAGCGATTTTCCAGCGACATGGAAGTTCGAAAATATTTCCACCTTTTTCGGCAACCATGGTGCCGCCTCTGGTAAGCAACAATGATTGGTGGGTGTTAGACACTAATTATGGTGTCACACCCTTCAGGTCACTGGTAAATGATGGAAACGCCCATTTTTAAAATTTGGTTATCAACTTTAAGGTAAAGACGGTAAAAAGCAATGGCGTAGCTAGGGTTGAAAGATTGGTAGGGAAAAGAAGAGAACAATTTTGCTGACCAGACCCCTAAGAATTTGGAAAAACACTCGTCTTGTAAATGCGTTTGGAAAAGCTATAACATTTTTATGCGACAATTTCCTTTTGTAAAATGTCATATGTAGCGTTTTGTGGCTGACCATATCCTACAACTGTCTATTTCCTTCACCATTCCACTAACCTTTATATCCTGAATTGTGTAAGGCGAGGAAGCACTACGTGCAAAAAATGATTTTCAAAAGTTGTTACAAAATATCTAAAAATAGTAAACAGTGTTCAAAAGTTTGAAACCAAGTCCGTTCTCCATAGAGCGAAATCCACGAGAAGCATTTCAGAATCCAGTTTTTTAAGGATTGGATTGTTTTAGCATTTTAGTTTCTGTTTCATCGGGAATGTCTCAAAAACGTGAAAGACATTTCTATACAAACCGCAAATTGAGGGGAAAGTGTTGAGCATTCTGTACAGATATAGAGGAATTTTTTTGCAACGACGCTCTTTAAATTAGCTTACAATACATTTCAGAATATTCCTCCCCCCGCTACGCTACTGATAAGAAAATAAATACTGATAAGAAAATAAATTAAATAAAATCTTGGCGTTATTTTGTTAATACAAACTACCAACAAATGACTTTTACTGAATAAAAAAATGGTAGCGAAAGACACAGAAATCTTGGGGGCCTCGCACCCCCCACACCCCAGGGTTAAATCCGTCTCTGCATGTGCTTATTGCTCGTGACGCAATAATCTGCGAGCTAGTAAAAATTTAGCCTATTAAAGTAAAATATTTTCTGTTCTGTTTAATGATTGTTTCTTTAAGGATAGCCTATCCCAATGTCCTTGTTACGACTTGTGTCGATCTACTATTTCATCGCTGAGATCATTATGTTGTCAAACGAAAGTATATAAGCAAATGCTAAAGTTTTTGCTTTTCTGTTTTTTAGATTGATGTTGTTAAGATTTTATTCGGAATGGTACTTGACAGTAAGGGATTAACTGCAGTTAAAAACGAGCCGACCTTAAAAAAACTGAAAAATTCTCAATTTTTATACACACTAACAGTGGGTAATTTGTTTAAGAATCACAAAGTCAATAGTTAAGGTTGAAAGACACTGTCCTCTTTTACGTCCGTCTTCACCTGAAGGATTAAAAAATTGATCATGTATATTTGAAAAAAGGACCATTAGTTACATTTCCCTTTCACCTATGCGAGTTGGACGTGTTCAACTTTTGCAGCGAAAAAGGATAGGTTTAAAATCTTTTGTCTCGAATGTCTCCATGTTACGTCATGACGTCTGGTTCGGAATCAAAACACTCCCATAAGTTTGATACTTGGTGTTATAGATTACACTCTTTTTTATAAGAACCAGCAGATTTAAGTTCAGGCTGACTGTTCTTGATTTTTTCGAAAACGTGAGGCTGGATTGTTCTTAATTTGATTTTAAATTAATCTGGTAAGGCAGGGCGATTGCTAGCTTTTCTGCTTTAGGGTGATGTTCAAGGCCTCATTTGCCAACAAAGTGTGTGAGACAACCTTTATATGCCGACAAGTTTGAATATTCGCCGAAAAATCACCCAGAAATGCCTAAAAATTCCTCGCTTTTAAGATAAAACGTTGTTCAAAGTTGCATTTTACAATAGCTCAGCCTCAGTTTGTTCTTAATTTGTTCTTAACTTTCAACCAATTCTGATACTTGTGTTCTTATAAAGATGTTCTTCTAAAAAAGAGTGTAGGGAATCTCCCACTGAAGTTCGTCCAAAACTTCAGAGCTCATTCTCAAAAACCTTTCATATTTCGACCCGATCCTCCAAATGAAATTCATTCAGCAAAGTGACAGAAACCCCTAACTGTCTGTTTCTTGCTCTGGAGCCACGGTTTCACCTAAATTTCTTTTAATATTACCTTTCTTTTTCTATGGCTTGGCAATTAGTGCCAGTAGTAAACAGGAAGCAGCTTGTTTTTTCATTGGCCTACCCATAACGAAAAGAACGAAAAGGAGAAGGGATCCTTTTTAAAGGATACGTGTAAACAGCTTACCGTCATCCCTTTTCTCATCCTTAAGGTGAAAACGGACGCAAAAAAGGACCGTGTATTTCAGCCTTTAGTAAACAGGGGAGAGGGTCCTTTCTATTTTCGACATCAGAGAATGCCTCATTTGCCTGGGTATCAAACTCTGAGCTTTCATTTTACTTACCTGAAAATATTTTGCTCGACAACCTGACGCTTGAAACCCTCCAAAGAAATTTTCTAGAACCACCCCTGCAAAATATTTCTTTCTAAATCCCCGATCTTCAAACAGGTCCATTGATCTGCGATGTTCTGACTTGTAGGATATTTTGGAATGGAATTCTCAAGATGGTTGTTTGTTAGGAAGAAAGTGTTGATCGTTTGGCGATCTTTGATTTTCAAGTTTCCCATTATCATCAAAATTATTCCTTGAGCTAAGAAAATGCACTTATCATTCCGGCCAGGTGGAGGGTAAATACTTTCGAGAAGCTATTGCTTGTTTTACCGAAAACTTGTTTCTGATTCTGTTCCTGACAATTAACGATGCTATAAACGCTGATTTAATTGCGTGGCAACTGTGGCCTTATTGAAGGAGCTGCCAGAAATGTTTAAGAAAATAAAGGCATAATTTTCGGATGTAAGAGTAAACTGTTATAATTAGCTTCATCTGACTCAGAAAAACTAAAAGTTAAAAATTGAGAAAGATTAAAATTTTAAAGGACACCAACGTAGATGTTCCAGCAATTTTCGCAAAAGTCTTTTCGACTGGCACCAAGAGAGAGTAGATTTTCCAGAGGTATTGGCATACTTTGATACCCTAAACGCTACCTGTCTGCATCTACTGCTAGAAAGATAAACAAAAGCTTTGTAGAAAATTACTTTAGATATTGCTGCCTTGTCTTTTGAAGTATAGGTGAGTCTTGACGCTACAAAATCTTGCTGCCAGAGTAGATGTCAGTAGGAACTGCAAAGTGCTTTTGGATAGCTACTGTTAAGGAGTTACATGATTTTGAAATAGATAAAATGTCTTTCAAATCCGTTTATGATGATGTGTCATCTTATATTTGCATGGGCAAATGCAGCAACTTTTTAAATACTTGGCTTTAGCTGAGGGGTTTTCATGCCAAGGAAATAAAAGAATATGCAAACAATCTTTTGGTGGTTCAAAGCTTGAAAATGGCTTTGATTAAAGCAAACATTTAGTAAACTAAAGCTTTTCGTCTGACACTCTTCAGAGTTTAAAAAGTCAGAACATAGACCGAAAACTCTACGCTAGGAAATATATATACCCAGTTGTGGATCGAAATAGGCCAATCAGAAACACGAGCACGAGACCGAAAACGAAATAGGCCAATCAGAACATAGCGGTTCTCGTTTTCAAACATCTTGTGGAGGGAGAGTTTTGGTCAGGTGATATCAGTTGAACGTGCTTTTCAAGCTGTACACAATACCGATTGGCTGAAACTGCGATAGATATACCGAGTTTCTAGACGTTTATTGCGTCTTCCAAAAAACCATCAAACAGATGTGGGACATATCTAATCAAGAGTTCAAGTGAATTGGAATCAGTCATGTACAATCAAATTAGGAGGAATATCTTGTCTGAATCAGCGGACTAGTTTAGGCTGTATTCTCAGAATTTTCTGGTACCAAAGACATGCATTAGTAATGATAGTATACTTCTACATTTTCATCATAAAACAAATAAAATTCTTTAAAAACTGTCAAAAGTTTACGAAGACTACATTTTACATCCAGAAAGTAAGCGTAGTTCCTTCAGCTAAAACACAAACTACACTGTCATCTAAAAGCAAAAGGAAACGTGAATATTTTGAGAATTCTTTGCAATTTGAGATTCATTAGCACTGGCTTTACTTCCAAAGGGAGTGGGTCCGGTTTGATCGAGGATGTCGTCACAAGCGTTGAATTTCATTGTCACTTTTCTTTTTCACGAGGAGCTAATGTCATATTATGCATCACGAAGGTCAATGTTTTGAATAATCTGTTATCTTAACATAAAATTACAAATAAGGTTCTGTTTTCTACAATGTTGCTTGCAGTTCAATTCCCAGCAGTTCACCTGGTACAAAATCCACAGGTCTTTTTGCAAAGTAATTTCATTCCGTGAGGATCCGACTTGCATTGTCCGGATTTTAAATAATAAGGGCATTTCTCAGCCCACTCAACCATATCTTCGCATTTGTTATCTAAAAAAGCAACATATTCTAATCAAACTGTTTGTACTACTTGATGTTAACTGTCACTGAAGCAAACGCATCCTTTCACATTTCGTTCATACATTAATATATTTAAAAAAGTCTATGTGAAGTGTACATCTATGCTCGTGTAAGACATATCTTCCTATGCGCAAGACTCGTTTGCAGAGTCATTTTCTATAAGAGGCATGCATTTTTCCTTTCGATCGGAATTATTTACCTAAACAGGAAGTCATATGAGCAAGTTCGATGAAGTATGAAGTAGGCATTCCACACCTTATAAATGTTAGGACTAAAAACAGATGAAACCACCAGTTTGCTATACCGAATGAACTACACTGAACTCGTTGAAAGTGATGTGAAACTTCACTTACCGCATTTTCCACATGTCTGGGGACACATTCGCCTCATGAAGGTACCAGCTCGGCTAATCTTTTGGCAGTCCTCTTTGAATCTATCACAAACGTAAAGGTATTTGTCTTCGCATTCTAAAAAAGATGACATCAATAGTTAGAACGTGATCGCTGCAAACAGGATGATTTTCGCAATCAACAATATGTCTATATGCTTGACCATATGCAATGTTTATTGATGGCAACCCATTGCTTTTTCATTCGTCAACATGAAGAATCACATTATCCCTGGTAGAAAAATGGAAATGATAGTGATGACGACGAGAAAAACAACAACGATGGAGTGGGCTAGTTATCGTGCAGCCACTTTTGGTAAGCCCAGCAAACTGTATACTTACTTGGACAACTTGTTCCAGTTTTCTCAGCCTTGACAGTTACTTTGTCCCAGCAGCATCCAAAGGCTGATTCGGCACATTTTGGAGCGGATGGGGGCCCTTTATGAAAGAAAGCAAGAAAGTAATTAAATTAAAATATTTTTCTTCCGTTTTAACCGTCTTGCATAGTTGTCTTATATTTTTTAAACCTGCTACAAATTAACAAATCGGCTTGTGACATTAATGTTGTCGTGACACTGCCAGGCTAAAAAAGTTTTATAGGTCCACTCTACACTGGTCCACTCCATACAATATCATGAGTGGTATTGTGTTACCCACAATGCATAGTGCGCAGATCATGTAGGTGAGACTCCTAATAACATGAAATTCTAGTTCATGCGCCACGTTGGTAAACACGGCATGTCCTGCCTTTTTGCAAAGTATGTTTGCACCTAGAGTTTCTGTTGTAAAAACTATTGCTGAAGCTATGTAAACCTCGATTGTCGGCATGGGTATAACATATCGAAAACACTTAGAGAGGCTTAGTATGAATCTTTCAAGAATAATATTCAAGGGGTCTGCACACTCCCAGTCCCCATGTCTCCAACACTAATGATTGTGGGAGATCGAAATACCCATTGGGACAACAGGGTTTATTTTATATTTCACTGACGATTCAATGCTAATGATTCTTATATATTTCACTGACGATTTATGCTGTATTATTAACAAGCACTTACTGCAATAGTCGCACTCTTTGAAGCACAAATATTTCATCCTAGCTTTGTACTTGGCACTCTCGCAGTAACCATATTTTCTAAATGAAACGCATCTAGATCCGGCGACATTTTTACAGTCAACTGAAAGAAAAAACGATAATCCAATTGTAAATAGCTCCAAGGACAAGTAAAGAGTCGTTGCCTGTGCAACGAAACAAGATATCGTCTTGTCTGCGATACAATGAAGCTTGTAAAAATCTTCTTGACTATGAAAAAGAAAGGAGACTTCACAACAAACATGAACAAACTTGGTCAACAAGCTTGGATCGTTTTGTCATTGGGAACAAAGAAATGGAACGGACAAAATGAAATGATGCGGAGTCAAAAAGCAGTTATTCTTGCATTCAGATTAAAACTTTTTTGGCATACTTAAAGCTTTTTAATTTGTGTTTTAAAGATGTCTTGATTCAGAAGTAGTTGAGTTGCTTTAAGTTGGAAATATCTGCTCACCACAAAACTGGCAGGTTTTGGCGCAGTTACTTTGCATCGTTTTCTTATGTGTTCCACAATATCCAAGTCGTGCTAGATACTTGCAATTTTTTCGGTTATCTTTGCATTCCCCTGAAAACGACAAAAAAGAATGAGCATTTGCTATAATTTAAATTACAATTTATTCTTTCCTAGAATAAATACTTTTACGATTAAGAATGATTAAATACTTTTATGTAAACTTCCTAGCGTAGAGTTTTGATCTATGTTCTGACGTTTTAAACTCTGAAGAGTGTCAGACGAAAAGCTTTAGTTTACTAAATGTTTGCTTTTTTCAAAGCCATTTTCAACTTATCCCTTCTGAAGATAAACAATGCAATGTTGCTAAAACTAGAAAATTTATTCGAACTGGCAAAATGAATTTGTTTCCATGATCAACATTGATTTCTCTATAAAGTAGGAGCATATGTGATGCGCATTTGAAAGGTTAATCAAATAATCATACCATTGTCTTCTGACGGAAGATCAGCCGCAACATCATCCTTTTTCATGTATTTTTCGATGGCATTCATGAGTTGATCTGCAAATCAATAATACCAAGCTGATATCACAAGGTTAAAATAGTTTAGCCCCCCTTAACATGTGAACTAAACCTGTAAACTTTAAACTTTCGTACATTGAATTGCCTTCTTTTTAATATTCAAAAAAATTTCAATCCTCTACATTCCTGTTTCAGTTGCACCTATAAAATTTCTAAACAGCATTCATTTGGCATGGGAAGGCATCTGCTCTGGCCTAACATTGTTCTGTTTTAGCTTTACCATGTTCCTATATGGACACACTCTGTTCTTATACGGCCTCACACTGTTCTTGTATGGCCTTGCTTTGCCCTTATATGGCCTAACTTTGCCCTTATATGGCCTTACTTTAGATTTACATGGCCTAACACTGTTTTTTACCTTTATCAATGTTGCCTGTATTCTCAAAATTTGACAACATCTTGTGAAGGTCTGACTTGGCGGAGCTGTCCTTTTTCTTATCTTTAGCGTCTAAAGAAATTAAATAAGTTAAAAGAGATGAGATAAATATAGAGGAAAACAGAAAAATAGCTAGAAATATAGCTTCATCTTGTACAATGAACTCTAACAGTTTGTTTACAGACGAATATTTTTGAACTGTACAACAATAAAAGTTCAGAGACCAAACCTTACCGGTGTTTTTTACAAGATCTTCCAGTTGAGACTCGACAGAATTGTCCTTATTTTGGTTGCTTGCATCTGTAAAACAAATTCAGTTTTCGCTTTAACATTTCACTAAGGTCCGTTGGTCAAAGCAAAAAATATATATATAATATTACAGCAAGACCCCCTATCCTATTCAAAAGTATGTCGGATGATTTTTAGGCTGTAAGAAATGATTTCAAAGGTTCTGTTCACAGACCAATTTTTACAAAATTGTGAACTTGATATTTCGATCACTCACCTTTGACTTCGATAGGCGAATTTAATTTCATTGCTTTCTCTTCTTTAGCGACAGATTCCGGAACTGCCCAATCTAAAACTGTAGAACAGACCAGGTGTTAAAAGCCTCGTTATCAAGACGATATTGTAGAAGTAAAATATCAAATATAAAAGCTTCGTGATTATGTGATTTGTATCAGATACGGAGCAGTGCAAAAAATTTGTCTGATGTTCCAAGCGGTTTGTGCAGTTCATTCAGTTGGGGTCATTTTCATAGCAAGGGTTTGCGAGCCGGGAGTACTAGGGTAGAACCCGTCTACATTGCATTAATGACCCCTTCTGCAAAATAGTTGTCGAATCATTGCTGGTGTGTGTGATGTTGAGCAAAGAAAGCTGGGACTATTTATCATTTGTAATTTCAAAGGAGCCCTGATGGAAAAACTTGATGCAGTTAAGTTGCTTAATGTCAAAAAATGGCTATAACTTAAAGGCCCTTAACTAACTAGGCTTCTCATGACCCTCTTTCCTCGTTTCTCTCTAGGGAAAATTGTTGATGCTTCAGAGGAAGCTGTTCTCTGCAGGCGTTTTTGTGAATTTCTATTCAATAATTCTGCTTATCATCGTACTATGAAATTTGTTCTACTTACTTTCCTTTTCTATATTGCTTGAGGCGAGATCTAGAAAAAAAGATCAAATGTATTCTAACAGTGAGATGTAATAATCATCAGGTCGGTCAAACATTGGCCTCGAGGTGCCCTATACTACCCTGAGGGTTTTAACCAATCAATAGGCAGAACTAGAAACTTTCGTTTGTAGCTCTACCCATGATCCGGAAAACCATGTTATCGATACATTCCAAACATCATAATTCATACGATTTGTAATTTACTTAGTGTCCTTCAATTTCACACACATAAAATCTCAATCCAAACTTGCCATCAATTTTGAAACCTGGACCTTTTTAATGGGATATTTTGCGACGCTTTAAAGATAAATATGCTGTAGGCTGCGAAAAGATTTACAAAAAGAATCCTTCAGCAAATCTGATTTAGAATCATGGGCAGACCACAGAATACAAAATCTATTGAAATCTGACGATTCGAGGTGATACGACATGGTACATTGCCTTAATGCATTGGGAAAAAAGAGCCGTAAGGATCTCATTAACCAAAGTCACTAAGAGCCTGCACAAGCCCTTCATCTGTTGGAGCTTTATGTCAAAGGCTTATCCCAAAGATTTTTGCGGGTTAGGCCTTGGTTTGTGGATGGGCAGTGGGCATCAGAGTATTGTAATATGGAACATGGGTATTCTGGGAATTATTAACCACGCCTGAACTAGTCTTGTTATGAACTGGGAATTAGAATAATTATGAAGTGAGTTGCCTTTGGAAGGATTGGAAATCTTACCCCAAAGTTTCTAAAATTCAAGCAATCGACTATTGAAATGGACATTTTAAGGGAAGGGGGTTTGGGGTGGAAGGAGAAAGATTCAAACATTATAGGTTTCCTATGAATAAGAAGGATCTCTGACTCAGTGGTGGAAATTATATCATTCAGGAAACTAAATGAAAACTCTAATTGACAGTAGCGGCGCCACTGGGGGGACTGGGGGGGACACGTCCCCCTCAGTTCTCAGGAGAATCGATTTTGTAGTCCGTCTAAATTCGATTAGAAAATGTTGGGGGAGGGGTAATATTTTGACACCGTACTTTTTGTGATGTAATCCTATGATTTTCAAACTGCCAATTTTCAAACAAAAGTTAGTCATAGGCGTTCTCTTCGGATAAAATTGGCGTTTTCTGTTGGTAAAAGGGCATTTTCTGGTTGTTAAAAGGGTGTGGCTTAAATTTTTTTGGTTTGTCCCCCCCCCCCTCCCCAGAGCTTAGTGGCTGGCGCCGCCATTGCTAATTGAGACATTAAATATCAAGTTGGTACAGGAAAAACTTATTTTATCGGTATCATCATTTATCGGTAGGTGAAATAGCACCGAGAGTTTTCTTCGTTTATACCTTCGTCGGTAAATTTGATACTACTTTCTCATCGAGTTTACAAAATATTTTGCGGACAATTCGATGTCTTCAGCAATTTTGGTACCTGACGGGTTTTCGTGAACTTCTATTTTAAACCACAAGACCTTCTTCACAAAATTAAAATCTACATTATAGTTCTGGTTAGGGATCCAATATCAATACATAGAAAACGAGATGACTGAATCGTCGTTTTCAAATCCACTGGCAAACAGACCTGGGTCAGGAAGACCGTACAACTCTGGCGGCCAATAGCTAATCTTGTGATCCCTTTGTGTGAAGCAGAATATTTCTTTCATTAGAGACATGGCTCAAATTTCAATGCAAAGGCTCAGTGAGACCTTGAATCGTTGTTTGTACTCATTGTTTCCAATGAAAATATGCTTAATTTGATACAAATTCATTTTCTTTTCCTGTTAACAATTATTCATATATCAGATGTTTTAATCATATTATAGGTTATTTGAATTAAAAAGCGAACCAGTGTTTTATGTCAGGGATGAGCAGTACATTAGAAGAGGCAACATCAGGGAAAGAGTCACGCCTAATTCAACTTAAAGAAGTGATTGTAACTTGATAAGCCGAGTGAACTGTATGTCGTCTGTTGTGATATCTATTCATGGAGAAACGAGATTGGACAACCATTAGAACTAGAATTCTTTCGGCGCCAACTTCAGAAACTGTATTCCATAACAGTTTTATAAAAATTCTTTCTGCTTTCAGTGTAGAAATTAATGATGATTTCTTCTTCATTTCTTACAATACAAATTTGTAAACAAAGTTTCACGATAAATATGATACTCGCTATGATCATGATTATGATTGTGTTGGCGTAGGTCTGACCAGAAGATTTGATTCAATTACCCTTTGAATATCCGCACGACAGGGTGTCTGATGGGGTAGATGTGTTCGGGCCACTACCTTCCTGTACAAATCATTTACGACTACACGAATTTTAGAAGAAAGCTATTCATTAAATGTGACTCTGCTCGATTAACCACGACGATTGAAAATGCTCTGTTATAGAAATATCAATTATCGTAAAATTTCCATGCGAAGTAGCCGGGCCGGCAAGAACCTCCTCTGAACAAAATAATAAAACAAATTGTTTGAATACAAGATTCGTCCATGGATTTCCTTGAGCATTTTAACATTTAAATTGAAATATAAACGAACCTTTCTCTATGAGATCGAACTCCTTTTCCACTTCCTCTATTGCAGCACTAAGTGCAACGTGGAGCATTGCTCCCATAACGACAGCAAATATCAACTTCATTTTTCAGCTTTTTCGAGTTTTACCTTAGTGAAGCTTTTCTCTGTCGACTTCTTCTGCAGACTGTTCCCATTCGCCAGCTCGCTCTTTTTATAAACCTACATTGGGTCCATACCGAGAATAACTCAGCCTGAGTCGATGGGTCCCGCCCCTACCAAATTTGGTAAAGCCGAAAACCACAAATCATCTTTGCAGGCTTGAACACCCTGTGCTGCTTGCATATGATGCTTGTAATCGATCTCGCGCTGGCGGTGCGTCATGGACTTCATTATCATTAAACGATATTATGAATGGAACCAAGGTCTGACACGAGAATACCCCCACCCTGTAACATCCTGATCTTTTGTCACTTCCGATTTAACTCTATCTGGATGATTCGCGTACAATTCAATTCAGTTTTCTCTACAGAAAAACACAAATTTACAACTCTATCTAACTACATTGGCGTACGTAGGATTGTGTGGCTATTAAGGTAACAACAAAGTATCCCAATCTCTACTTGGATGTAAGTTACCTATGGTCAATGAAATCGTAGTTATTGAAAATTATCCTGCATTCCAAAGACGCGAGAAATGTTAGCACTTTGAGATATTAAGTAGATTTTTATATTTCTTATAACTTCTCGTAATTTTGTTTCCTTTGGACGTATTTTAAAGTTCGTTATGTTAAATTCAGTCTGTTCTTGGTTCTCAAAATTTTTTAATTTCGTTGTTTATCTGCAGTAAAAGTTCATTATTCTTCAGACGTAGTGTTTGTATTTAGATCAAGGGTGTCTTGGCCAATACCTCTTTTTCAAAAAAAGGAAAGCTGATTTGATTATCAATGGATATTGCACCAACGCGCCCTTTCTTCTTACTATACTGAACTGTAGCCAGTTCAACGCAGAAAGATAAACAATTTGCCCAGAGGATAACGTGCCCAAATATGTATTGAGAGTACTTCAAAGGTATATACGTCAAAGTAATCAATGAAACAGAAGAAAGTATTATTTTGTTCGGAACTGAGATTGTCCTTTATGAAAACAATCTTTTTTTCTTTTTTTCCGAGAGAACCATTTTTCCTGTGTGGTTGCACATGTACCGGAAAAAAGGTCAATCATTTGTTGAGACATATCATCTGTCAGTCATTTTACTTATCGTCGTATTCTTCTACCTATTCGGATCATTACGATGATTCAGCGATCCCTATCAAAACTATCTACTTTGTTGTTGGAACAAAAATTATTTGACTTTATCGGATTTGAGCGCTCTGTTTATGCCTGTTTATGTTCAACCCACATCGACTTACATAATTGAGAAAGATCAAATTTACAATGAAGTGTTGTAGAAATCCAAATTAGAGCCAAATAAAGCTTTGTCAAAAACCTTTGACAAATACCCTTATTTCAGTATTAATGCTCGTCTAATCAGTCTTTGTACACTGTGTTAATGTGTAGTATAATTTCAAATCATTGGCTTTGAATCAACATTTCTTTTTGTGGGGAGATGGAAACTTCTTTACTTTATGGTCGAAAGCTTTGCTTTTCACAAATCGTTCATTGATGGCAGAGTGTTACAAGAACTACTGGCTGGGATTGTAATGCCAGAAGCAAGTGGTTCTTGAGACAGTGGAGGATGTTTACCAAGATTTTCAATAACATCCAAAAGCGTCCTTCAAGACGTGTCTAAACCCAGTTTCATCTTTATAAAACTCTTTTTTAAACGTAAAGGGCATTGAGAGGAAGGCCTTTTTTGTTTGTTTTATGTCAATACATATGAGCAAGTAGCCCCAAATTGCTAGAATTTATAAGATTCCTAGAAGTTCCAAGAAAACGAGAAACTCTAACTTTAGCAGGATCTATTAGACACGTTGGCTTATTCCGTATCCGCATAACTCGTTCTTGAAAGCTTTAAGTTTTGCTTTGAGCTTTTCTGAGCCCGCATCAATAGAAAGTATTTCCTGCAAAATAGCTATAATTCTCTTTTTGTTTGTTATCATGAAAATATCTGACAGAGTTAATCTTAAAACATGGAAAAACCGCAAAGGTCATCAGACAGATTGTCCAAAAAAAGATTTCAGTTAATGTTAAAGACAGCTGAACTACAAACACGAATCTAAAAGATGAAAGAATAGTTCTTTTTTTCTTCAAAATTGATGCAAAACAAAGTCCATCAACGTCACAGTAGTATCTCCCAACAATTATGCCAAGTGTTTTTTACTTGAATCATCTGGGTAAGAACAAACTTTAACATAACCCAGATTTTATTGAATGTGGGCTTATCGTAGAAATATGAAAGGACGTGAACGAACAACAATAAATTGAAGGAAGTGAACGAGCCAGTTGAAAAATGTGTCCGGATAGTATTAAAATAGTGGCAATCAATGGCGGCCTACAATTCAATTCATTTTTCCCTAAAGCAAAACAAAAATGCTCACCTGTTTCTAATTGCAGTGGCGTAAGTAAGATTCTTTTGAGGTGGTGTAATTGTATAAGAGCACAAATTTAGATAATCTTTCCTCAATCAAACCACGATTGGCTTGCATGAAAGTGGAGAAGTTGGTAATGTTGCTCAAATTGGGAAAGTTCCCTGCTGGTATAGTGAGCGTTTCCTTCCAGTGAAAAGGGCTTGGCCTAACACTTTTACTTCGCCTTAACACTCTTACAGCCTTCTGGTTGGAACTGCCATTGATGAAAATACGGCTTTCAAAGCTTTTTAAAGCACAAAAGAAGTTTAAATTTGCAACGTTACACAATTTGTTATACTGAAAATTATGACGGTCTACCCATCATATTGGAAAAATCAAAGACTAATTTTTCCGCTACACTTTTCAAGTACACCACATTGATATAACATTACAGTACCAGAATCCTCTATACCGCTGCAAAACAATGTAATATGTTAGATTTCTGAGTTGTTTCGAACTTAGAACATGGGTTTCTTTACCGTATGTCAAAAGACTTTTCCAACCAGACCTCTGCAGAGCACCCGGGCAGAGCAGCCAGTAAATGAAAATACTGTTTGAACCAACAGTGCATGACTATTTTCATTCATAATTGACATTGACTATTCATATTTTAAAAATGTGATCGTGCTTTTTCCAGTAGAAATTATTCGAAAAACGTAAAAGGGACGAAAAACATCTGCAGCGAAGATAATCAAAGGTTTAAAATCAATTTCGCAATTTAAGCCTTGGCCAAACGATTTGATTTTTCGCTCGATCTTTCTCTCGACATTTGATCTCAAAATCGAGCGAAGTCGAGCATGGGTGGCCAAACGATTCGATGTTCTACTCACGCCAACAAAATGAAGGCAAAGAAACGCAAATCGGCTGCCGTGTTTATCTTACGTGCAAATATCCTTTTACAATCTCTGGACGAACTCGAGTATCATAAGACCCTGTTCGTTCATTTCATGCAGGAACCGCCATTAAATACTTATTTCGCTTAAACAAATTACTATCTTCAGGCAAAATTTTGTTTCTTTTGATTAATTCCATTCGTAAAATGGAATCATCACTTAAAAGGTCCCCTGGACCTCGAGGCCCCAGGGTAGTATGCTTTCCTCTCACTCGACTCACTCGACTCACTCGACAAGGTGGCCAAACGACTCGATTTTCATTCGACAACACCTTTCTCACTCGACTTTTTTGATAGAGATCAAACTTCACTTGACATCACTCGACGCCATTCGACTTGCTTGACAAGGTGGCCAAACGCCTCGATTTTTCACTCGATTTCTTGTCGAGTAAAAAATCGAGTGAAAAATCGAGTGGTTTGGCCGGGGCTTAAGTGTACTGCTGCACTTTCATGGAGCTGTCTCTTCTTTCAAGACGACAGTTTTTTCCATCGTCTATCGAATTTTTTAGACTTCACGTTTCTACAGATTCCTCTCAATATTCAACTTCATGGGTCTCCTCTACAAGGGGGGCGTACATATGCAGATGATGGAAATAAAAATCTTTCTCAGTAGAAAATGCAATAAATTTTAGCCGTTTCTGGAGGGTTACTTACGTTTTTAGAGAAGGCCTTTCCATTGTTTTTAAAACACAAGAATTGAAACGGTTATAATCCGTTGCTCGACCTTTCTAAATTAAAAAACCTTGACGACCGTGAGACAGAAATAAATCAACCAAAGAGCAAAAGATTGATAATAGTGAATATTAGCTGCAACAAGGTCATAAAACCAGAACGTAAAATTAAACTTTTTTCATGCGAAGTAATGAGAATAGGTTGTGGGGTCACGACAGAGATGAAAAAACCATGGCTCAAAAGCTAGTTTGCTGTCTCTTTTCAAAAATCGTCACATTTCACAAAATTCTCCAAGTAGCATTTCAGGTCCCAGATTGCGATACATGCGGTAGGTTACATGCGATACAAAGTAGGGTATGATAAAATGAAATGCTCGCTTTCTACGATCTTGTTGGTGTAATCTGCATTATTTTCTTACTTTATAGAAGGGTTAACCTATGAGAAAACAGTTCATTTACATCGAACCTTATTTGTGAGATTATTCTGACCTACCTACTTAATGCTTATCCAAAATTGTTCTTTCAGACATCCTAGGATTAGATCGCAGACAGTCACCTACGGGTATTAAGAACAGCTGTAAGGGTACACCGATACGGTTGTGAGTTTTCAAGTAAGTTATTATCGCATGGGCTTTTCAGCAGTATCAATTTTGGGCAAAAGCAAAAGCTATATTTCTAAAACATTAAGCGAAACTCAGTTTCCGACCCCCCCTTCGCAGGTGAGAAAATCTAATTCTTAAAAAACTACGGAGGATAGATATCAGTCTGACATGACTCGAGTGAGAGAATAACATTACTCGAATCGAGGCTGAATCACCTTTTATTGAACACTGTGAAACCCACGTTTTCTTGATACTTGTAAATTTAGTGCGTCAAAAAAGATACAGAACAGCTTTGCCCATAGTATGAATAATCCGAACAGGAATAGCCAGCTCAGGTGGTACCTTCAAGGCTTATATTATATCAACTTATGTTTAGTTTCTATGAGTTTGCAAGCTTCAATGTCTATTGATTTTTCAAAAATGACTATAAAGAATTATTTTTTACAATTTAGCTTAAGATCGCTAGAAATTTATCTAAGTTTCTTAGTGAAAGGT